CAATTTGGATTGGTCGGAGTAAAAAATTGGGGTTATGTAGGAAGTTTATAAGCATTTCCTTACACTTCTTAGGATTGAGCTTCATGTTATGTTCATTAGCAAATTCATGTATATCAGAGACTGCAAAATTAAGGAGGCTGATAGAGTTCCTAGGAATAATCTCGAGGGCTGAAGTGTCATCCACGAATTTTGTACAGAGATGCCAATTAGCCAGTAAGCTATTTGTCATGACCATAAAAAGTACCACTCCGAGTTTAGTCCCTTGGGGTATTCCTCCCTTCAGAGTTTGCCATTGAGAAAGGACACTACCAATTCTAACCACCTGCCTACGATTGAATAAAAAGGCTGAGATCCAGGACAGCAAGGCTGGGTGAACCTGGAGCTTATACAGTTCTTGTATTAAAATAGAGTGGTCAATTAGGTCAAAACCTTTTGAGAAGTCTGCGAACAAGATACGAGCACCGGCTTCGCCCCCGTCCAATGCCTCATGAATTGTTTGCATCATGTAGAGAAGGGCATCTGTTGTTGAGTGCCCTTTGCGGGCATATTGGCGAGGGTCGATTTTTTCTTTCAAGTCCTTTAATAGTCTAGTGCAAGTAAAGCCTTCCATAACTTTTGCCATTGAAGAAGCGAGATTGGGCGGAGATCAATTTCAATTGTTTGAGGAGGTGATATCTTCGGAATTGGAATTGCGATAGATGACTTAAGTGGTGATGGGATATTCACTTCTTTTATTGACTGGTTGTAAATATTACGAATGACTGGAGCCAGTTCAGGAGCAAACTCTTTCAGGATTCTATTCGGGATATTATCAGGGCCAATAGCCTTACTAATTTGCAGTGATGCTAATGCTTTAAACACCTCACTTTCCGTAACCAAGAATTCTTCCGGGATTTGCATAGGTGGAGTTGGTTGGCTCAGAGGGGCGAAGTGATCTGTAAGACTAACAAAGAAGTCGTTCACTTTATTAGCTAGGGATTCTATATCCATGTTGTTATCAAGGAACTGATACCATTCCTGTCGGATATTTTGACCTGATAGTTTTTTAATCTCTTTCCACCACTTTACAGGGTTTACTCTATCAACATCTGCTACCTTACTATGAAAGTCATTGGATTTTGCTGACTGGATCGCACGTTGAACCTTATTCCTCCAAAAACTATAGTCTTTAGAATTTTTTCCTTGTTGTTGGAATACACATTGGCGTCTAGAAATCCACAGTTTTATCGTATTAGTAATCCACGGTCGATCTGTCGGATGCTTTTTAATCATTTTCTGTGGGAGAAAGGTATTAACTGCTTGGTCAAGCTCTGACATAAAGAGGTCAAATTTATCTTTGCTCGTACTCGCACTTAATACCGATGACCAGTTTTTTTTGGTTATCCATCGTCCAAAGGCACACCACGCAGAGTTCTGCATGTCCCGGATTCTAATTTTGGTAATAGTCTGTTTAGATGATCTTGCTATATTTGGTTTCGCTAAGATCGTACAGTGGTCAGACGAACAAACCTTTGGCAATCTAGATACTTCAAACATCTTAGGTCTATTTGTCAACACCCAATCCAATACGGCAGAATCTCTGGTTTTAAAAGATATAAGTTGTTTAAGATGGTTCACCTGTGTGATATATTTCATTTTAAAACCTGTAGATGTGGGATTAAAGTCACCTGTAAGTAAAACAAGTAATGAGTCAAGGTTATTCTGCACATGGTCTCTAAGGACAACATTCTCAGGTTCTTTGTTGGATGTTGAATGATATATTACTCCTAGAATAATGGATGTATCTCTTTGGAGTTTATGTGGTCTTAATGAAATCCAAATTGATTCTACATCAGATTGGTCACATGAATCCAAACGGTTACAAGGTATTTTATGATCCAAATATACACAGACCCCACCACCAGAAGATCCTATGCGATCCCAAATAAGTTGAATCCAGGGATAGATACGGAATGATCAGGAATGTCAGGTGATAGCCACGATTCAGTAATGCAAATAACACTTGCAGAGTTTAGCTCTGCAATTTGCTGGAGCTCGTCAATTTTCTTTGGTAATGATCTAACATTAGTGGACAATATAGTCGGGATATCATAGGATTTTGAGGGATTCTTATTAGTAACAAGGGGAATTGAGATGCATCTATACCGGCGGAATTAAAGGTTGCTGGATTTACTCTGGCCTTTAGATATAGGCGTCAACTTCCAACTTGTTATGTATGCCAGGAGGTGGGGCTATGGCAAAGGAGTGCCGCAAATCGCAAAAGGTCGCACGTAAGCAACCAGTCCGCAAGCAGACTGGTGCACAGTCTGTGAATAGTAATAAAAACAAACCCTCACAGCAGCGTGATGTGCCTACTTCAACATCACAGGAGTCATCTGCTTCCTCAAAGCCACCTGCTGACCTGAGGGAAAAATTAAATAGGGCTAGAGCTTCAGAGGAAGCTTGGAAGGTGCAACCTCCTTGCACACCAGTGCTAAAAGAGGTCAAAGTTGCGTTTGAGAAATCACAGCGTGATTTACGGGATAAGTTGATCGCCCGTCGCAACGCTACTCCCATGGCCCCTTCCACACAGGCCTTTGACCTAGATTTGTCCGTTCGACTGCCAAAGACAGCTCCATCATCGTCTTCAATGGTGACTGACTTTAGTCGTACAGTCACGGAAAAGCCCGGCAAACAGTTGGAAGTTGTTGTTTCCAACCCGGATGTTGCTGCCCGTAAACAGGGCAAATCTAGGCATGTCTCCTCTAGCAGTGAGGAGAGTGATGATAGTTTGGCAGAGATGTCAGTTACCCCAAAGCCTCGTTCAAAGCGTGTTAAGCGTTCTGAAAAGTCCCAAAAAGAATTGGGACATGAGGCGGAGGGGCCTAGTAAGACCATTGCTGATGTCGCTTCTTTAGGCCAAACTAATATCACAGAGGATTGTCTTGACGGATCCATGGTAATTGATCCAATTGCACCCCAGAAGTTGAGGAGATGGAGGCCCAGTCTGCACCTGTGCCAGAATTGCAGACTGTCTCATCTTCAGTGTCTGGTGCTGACAATCAAAGAAATTTTGCAGCAGAATCCACTGAGGATTCTGTGAGTCCTAACGACCCACAATGTGACGTGCGTCCCCCTCAGGAAATTTCTTTGCCAGAGGAAGTGACACTGGAAGAGGCCAACTAGAACTGCGGTCCTCTTACAGATGATGATATGTTTTTTGAATACGAATCATGTCACAGTGGGCCCGATGTAGAATCTTCGTCAGGGGCAAGTACGACTTCAAGTCTGCAGCAAGCCGCTGATTTTACAGACCATCTCCTTCAGGATGCTGCCGCCGATCCACACAGTCTGGAAGCTGTTGCCACCTTGTGGCAGGCACTTGACAACGCAGTTGTGAAGGAAGATGGTTCCTCTTCTTTAGAGCATTAACATTCAATCTCTTATCGTTGAATGTTAATGGTCTAAGTGACCGCTTGAAAAGAACTGCACTTGTGGACTGGCTTAAGTGCATGAGGGTTGAC